TATGAGATTGGTCAAGCAGACAGTGATGGAGCCACCCGCTTCGCCACACGAACGGAATGATATCGAACCATCTATTATGTTTAGAAGATCAAACAACGGCCATGACGTAAGGACGATGAACGTGGAGCGAGTATAACGCAGAGATGCCTGAAGGTCCATAAGTTGAAGAGAGATATGGATAATGAATCGAAACTCGATGCTGTTATTCGCTGGTATTGGCCCTATGGGATTTCAACGCGAACTTTCAGAAAGCTATCATTAAAAGGGACTACCTCAGCATCGTTGGAAAGGATACCCCGGATGGCTGCATTGCAAGAATTCGCTTGGACAACGTGGTCTCATCCCAGAGAACTTATACTCAAGCCAGTAATTGATATAATGGAACACAACATCCGAGATCGAAGAAATGGACCAAGGAAATAGAGACGCTCTATCATAGACTTCATAAAGCGCAGGAGGAAATAGGTACCTACTGCAAGGTGGACCGACCGATACCGACGTCACACAACGATACCGAAACTCGAACGGCTCAGGTTTTAATCAAGAATTCATACGACATTATCAATCGCATAAAGAGGCGGAAAATGGAGTCGCGTCTATCTAAAAAGAACGCCTCGAGAAAGAAGCTTGGCAGATAGAGGAGCTACAGCGGAGTTGAGGACGAAGGAGAAGTTAATAAAGAAAAAGACGGCATCAGAAGCAAGATGCATCAGAGCGAGTCTGTACAGTCAATGGAAGCTTATGAGGGGGTCAAGAACTCAGAAGAAAAGGAATCCGAGTAGATGACAAAAAAGATGAAAGAAGAAAAATAAGCAGTACTGCAATGCAGAGATCAATAAAAGAGAAACGTTGAGAAGAAAAAAATTCTGCAGATACTTGCAAAAGTAAGATCTCTGATGATCGTCGTGGCTTTAAGCGTGGTAGATTAATAAGAAAAGAGAGGTGAATCTCCCAAAGTCCCATCGTACTGCCTATCGAAACACTGGCGCACTTCCGAATTGTCTCAGATTAAGAGACACGTAACCAGATGTGGCACCAAATTTGCAGGACAATCGTAACCTTGGAATAATGAGGACAAGAAATTTTGTGAAAAGATCTTCAATACTGTAGGGGGACAGTTATAAACTTTTTCGAGTACATATTATTAATAAAAGTTTCTGTGAAATATCGGTATTCAGGTATCGGAAAGGCGACATGAAACGCAATGCTAAGGGTTCAACAAACAACATGTATTCTGAGTAACGGCCAATGAGCCAGGCTGATGAAGAAGAAGCAGCTGGCAAGATAGAGGAGCTATAAGCGAGGTTGGGACGATAGAGAAGGTAAATAAAGAAAAGAACGGCACAGAGCAAGGCATCAAGCGAGTCGCTGTACCAGTCAATTAAGCTTCAAGGTCAAAGAACTCAGAAAGAAAAAGCAGGAAAAGATGAAAAATAGATGAAAGATGAATAAGCATGCTACTGCAATGCAAGAATCAGAGAAAGAGAAACGTTTGAGAAGGAAAAAAATCTGAGATACTGCAAAGAGATCCATCCAGATGACGTCGTGGCCATTCTCAAGCAGTGGTAGAGGTAGATTAATGAAGAAAAGGGAGTGTGAATTCTGCCAAAGTCCATCGTACTGGCCATATCGAAACACAGTGCAACTCCGACTTGTGTCAGGATATAAGAGACGCAGTGAACAAGAGTTGGCACAAATCTGCAGGACAACTGTATTGATTTGAATAAGCAAGAATTTGTGACGGAAAAGAACTTCTCATACTGTGCAGTTGTTCAATGAGCTTTTTCGACGTAGATTATCATAAAAGTTCTGTTTGAAATTCGGTATTCAGGTATCGGAAGGGCGAAGGAAACGCATGCTAGTTCAATCAACAACTGTATTCCGTAAGGTACCGCCAA